ATATTGGTGAGGTTTCAAAGCTGTTCAATTCCAGTTCTATTTCTTTCTAAAAGGACCATTTTTTGAAAATGTATCCTAAGTTCTGATTGTAAAGCATGCTCATGTTTTTAAGCCATGATACTTTTTTAAGGTAAGCTGAATGTGATCTTGTTGCCTACACCAGTCTCCTGTGTCGACTTCCGGATGTACTGCTTAGATATTCCTGCTAATATCACTGGATTACTCAAGAAGGGATTTGGCTAGATTCTTGGCCATAAAAACTGTATTCTTATTAAAAATAGTAAATAATAAAAATAAAATAATAGTGGATATAGATCAATGGTGATTGGTTTTATAAAATGAAATGTATGGGAATGATCATATGAAGCACAAAGTAAAGGAAGGAATGTGTGAAACACACGTATACAAATTTTGAATGCAAACTAATATAAAATGTTTGTAAATCCTTAAAATAAAAGGAAAACAAAACCCAAAACCCCCATATATTCCTTTCCAGCTGATGTGAAAGAGAATCTGAGGCCTCTTTTCTTTTTTAGGGTTGTCACTGCAAGCAAAGCAACATACTGAAAAAGCCAAAGAAGTTCTCGCCAGCTCCATTGAGCCTCCCTATAATGATAATACAGATGTTTTCAAGTGTTCAGTTGATCTCTTTCACACCATGGGGAGAGCCTTCATTGGACTTCAAAAGTATCCTTTTACCTGTAATCTTTAGGATCTTACATTTCATTCCCAATAAAAAGTTTAAGGGTGAGTCAAGAGACTGACTTTTGGGAGTGGGCTTTCAGAATCTAGAACCAAGTATAACCTTTCCTTAAACACAGTGTAGATTTAAGGAAGCTTCAGAGAATCTGGCAAAAGCAGAAAGACTCTCAAAGGAGCTTCTGCAGTGTGGAAGAATCATAAAGGAAGAATGGATGGAAATTCAAGAGCAACTCAAGCTATCATTGGCGCAGTAAGTGTCAATTTTAGGACTGCATTCAGGATGACTGGAGCTCCTTAGTCAGTAGAATCTATCTACAAGAAGAAGCCCTTCAACTTGGGGTTCTTTCTAGTCCTGTGGCTGTTGTTCAGAGGGGCACGCAGTTATGTCAGAGCAGAAGGACTACCTGCACATGGGGGATGCCTTTCATCTGTTCTTCCTCACCCCATTGCACCAACCTACAATCGGTCAATAGATTAATCTCATGATCATGAGCATAAAAAAGAAAAGAGCTTAAATGTAACCAAATCCACAGTGATGAAAGGAGTATTTGTTTCTCTTCCAATCAGATTGGAAGAGATAGAAATGTTTAAAACCTGTAGTGAGGAGACCTCTCCTACAGGCCAGCCCCCTAGAATTTGGGGGTAACTGATTAGTTTGGAAGGATGGATTTAATGTGTGTACTGAGGGGGTTAGGGTGAGAGCCTGGGCCCTTCTAGAAAAGGCAGAATCTCCCTGAGATTCATATGACTGCCCTTAGTCAAAACAGAATCAATTCCTTAACAAGCCTGCATGCATAGATTAATTTCATTGAGTCTCAGAGACTGAATCATTTTAGGAAACATACTAGGGAACAAACATTTCCTGTTACTGCTGTAACAGATCACTTCAAACTTTACTGGCTTAATTCTCATTAAGATACTCATTCTCAGGCTTCTGGAGGCTGGAAATGGATATAAATCATGTGGGTCTAAAACAAAGATGACATGGAGGCTGATTTCTTCTGCAGGGTTTGAGGGAGAATTCCTTATCCCTTCCAGTTTCTGTCTCCTGCCATGATGTCTTGGTTTATGACTGCACCACTTCAGTAACACCACCCTCTCCTCTTCTGTAGTAAAATTTCCTTCTGCTTCCCTTTCATGAGGACGTTTAGGGCCCATCTGGGTAAATCCAAGATAAACTCCCCATTTCAAAACCCTTAACTGAATTACATATGTAAAGCCACTTTTGCCATATAAGCAAATCTACTGGTTCCAGAGTTTAGGACCTGGGCATATTTGGGGACCATAGTATTAGGTTATTAGCCAAACAACAGCTACACAAACACACCTGGAAAGAAAGGTTTAGGGTTCTAATTCTGAATGACAACAGTCATTGAAAACCCTGTGGAGTCTATGTGGGTAGCTCACATGGGGTCACCTTGGGTCAGAACTGACTTGATGGCAACTGGTTGTGGTGGTTTCGTTTTTCTTGATAATCCATTCACCATGTCCCTCAGATGACATAGTCCATAGCCACGTTATTAACCTCAAGGCAGTACTCTTCAAACAATTTGATCCATTAGCCACTTCTTGGTAGATATGTGACTGTCTCCTCCCTTTACATTTTATAATCTTGGAAACCAGAGGAAAGGTCACTGTAAATCAGAACCACTGATGACCTGAGGGCAGTGAATGCATAAATGACAGCCCTCAGGGGTTACGCTTGACACTTCTGTGTACATGGGATCTGACCAATGCTGATAAAGATCATCTGTAAATGTGTGAGCATAATATTGTTGTTGTTGTTGTTGTTATATGCCATTGAGTCGCTTGTGACTCAACAACCCTGAACTCTGCTCTGTCCTGTGCCAATCACACTGTCTCTGACACACACATCGTGATTACCCCAGTCACTGAATCAGTCTACCTCATAGTGGGTCTTCCCCTCTTGCTCTGTCCCTCCACCCTCCTAAGCATGATGTCCCTCTCCCAGGACTGGTCCCTCCTTACAACATGTACAAAGTATGTCAGATGAAGCCCCAGAATCCTTGCCTCCAAGGAGCAGCCTGATTTAACCCTCTCTAGGATAAATCTGTTTGTTTTCTTAGCAGTTCATGGTGTACTCAATACTCTTTTCCAGCACCACAGCTCAAAGGCATCAATTCTCCTTCTATCCTCCCTAGTCATTGTCCAACTCTCTGATGCATAGCAAGTGATTGCAAAGACCAGAGCCTGTATCAGATGCACCTTAGTCTCCAGAGAGACACCATTGTTCTTCAGTACTTTGGAGAGGTCCCTAACAGCATGCTTTCGCATCACAATATGTCTTTTGATTTCCTGGCTGCTGGTGCCAAGAATGTTGATTGTGGAGCCAAGCAAACTAAAGCTGTGAACAATCTCTTCACCATCCATCTTGATGCTACCAATTAGTCCAGTGGTGAGAATCTTTGTCTTCTTGACTTTGAGCCTCAATCCATATTAAAGGCTGCAGTCCTTGACCCTCTGCAGCAAATGCTTCAGGTCCTCAGTTTCAGCAAGTAGGGTTGTATCATCTGCATAAAGCAGATTGTTGATAGATCTTCCACCAATCCTGACTCCACTTTTCTCCTGATAGAGCCCAGCCTTCTGGGTAATCTGTTCAGTATACAGGTTGAAAAGGTATGGAGATAGGACACATCCCTGGTGTATGCTCTTCCCAGTTTTGAACTATGCAGTGTTTCCTTGCTCTGTTCTGATGACTGCCTCTTGGTCCAAGTTTCGCATTAGCACGATCAAGTGTTCTGGGATTCCCATTCTTCTCAGAGTCAGCCACAGTTTGTTATGATCCACAGTCAAACACCTTTGCATAGTCAATGAAACACAGATATACATTCCTCTCGTATTCCTTGCTTTCAGCTAAGATCCATCTAACATCAGCTACAATATCCCTAGTACCGTGTCCCCTTCTAAACCCAGTCTGGACTTCTGGCATTTCTCTCCTGATGTGCTGTTCCACTCGTTTTTGGATACTCTTTGGTAGAATCTTGCTTGCAGGTGAAATCAATGATATTGTTCTATAGTTTCCACACTCCGTATTTGTGAGCATAATACTGTGTTGTAAATTTATTTTACTTGAAGTTTCTTAGACATCAGTGTAGAGAGTTCATCAATCTAGGTAAGACTTTTTTTTTTCTCATTTGAGTGAAGTCTTAGAAATCATTTTGGTTTTTCCATATAATCTCTCAAAGATCCATGTAAGACTTTTTGTATGCCTTATTTATTTTCTTTCATTTCTTATACCCCTGCTCCCTAGACATCACACAGATACCTATAGGTGACTTTGGTGCATATTTTCTAATACATGTATAAATAACAGAGAGTATAGCTTTAGGTATGTATATGTTTTGTATTTGCATACAATTAAATTATGTATCTCACTTTTCCTCCCACAAAACACTGCTTTTAACTCTGTTGTGTTCTCTCTGGTTGCTGGATAGATAAAACTATGAACTACTGATACAAAGAAAATAAGCAGATTACTCATATGCTTAAGGTGTGGATGCCTCTCACAAACATCATGCTAAGTTCAAGAGACAAGATCCAAAAGAATCCACACTGTAAGATCCCATTTATGTAATAATAAGGAAGAAGATAAAGCCATGATTGGGAGAATTTGCACATCCAAAATCTCTTCTTGAAGAAGTGTTACTCCGTAGTTTATTGTGGGGTGTTTCTTTTTGTCCCCATTTTTAATTGTGGCTTCCATGAAAGTTTATAAAGTTTTGGTATTTTTCAGTCCATCTTTTGTGCACATCAGTTACAATACTGACAATGTCTGATTATCCGTTCTTTCCACATTGTCCTTCATTCACCAGTAGTGTTCATTTATCCATCTGTTTATTTTCTAATTCCTCCACTCTCTTCCTTAGTAACCGTACTAGCTAGGTTTACCATATGTAAACCTGTGTCTAGTTTGGTAACAGTGGTCTGATGTAATATTTGTTCTTTTGCAACTGGCATATTTCGCTCAACATTATGTCCTTTACACCAACCATTTTGTATAGTTTTTCATGAATTCTCCATTGTTTTCCAGTGCTACATAGAAGTCCATTGTGTGAATGTGCCATCATTGATCTATTTGTTTGTTGATGGGCAATTGCCTTTTTCCCAATCTCTTTGCCATTGTGGATAAGGCCACAGTAAACATGAGTGTGCATATATCTGCATGTGTTCTAGCTCTTGTTTCTTTAATGTGTATTCCTAGTAGTGGAGTAGTTGATCAAATGGTACTTCTATCTTCAACATTTTAAGGAAGCACCAAACTGCCTTCCATAGTACTTCCATCGTTTTATATTTCCACTAGCAGTGGTTGAAAATTTCAGTCTCACCAAATCCTGGCCAGCAGTTCCTATTTGCTACCCTGTTGAGCTTTGCTCTTGTTGCTCTTGGGTCAAATGATATCTCTTTTTTATTTTAAATTTACATTACTATAATAGCTAATGGTTCTGAGTTTACAGCAATGAGAGAGAGAGAGAAAGAGGGAGGGAGAGAGAGGAAAAGGGAGAGGGAGGGGGGAGGAAGAGGGAAGAGGGAGAATGGAGAAAAGAGGAGAGGAGAGGAGAGGAGAGGAGAGGAGAGGAGAGGAGAGGAGAGGAGAGAAGAGGGGAGGAGTGGGGAAGGGAAGGGAAGAGGAGAGGAGAGGAGAGGAGAGGAGAGGAGAGAGGATAGTTAGCGACAGAGCAGAGCTCTGCTGGCCTACTGTGTAAGGAGTTGTGCTGTCATCCCAAGGCAGATGGTGCAAATTCACCAGCCACTCCATGGGAGAAGGATAGATTGTTTCCTCTTGTGCTATTTGTTGTTTTTTTTTTATGTGCCCTTGAGTTGGAACCAACTCATAGCTGAGCCTCCAGTGGGTTTTCGAAGCCGTAAATGCACAGAAACAGATTTCCTGTCTTTTTTTCCCTTTAAGTAACAGTTGAATTTAAACCATGTGTCCTGCGGTTGGCAGCCCAACTCCTAACCACTTGGCTACCAAAACTCTCTTTTGTTTTCAACCTCTAAAAACATGCTGGAGACTCAGCTATGAAGCTGTTCCCACTTTACAGGAACACACACACACACACACACACACACACACACACACTTGATCTTGAGCATTTCTTTATATATTTCTTGGCCAGTTGAATTTCTTCTTTGCCGAAGAGTCTCTTCATATCTTCTGTCCTTTGCATTTTTTTGTTTTTACAAATTTTTTTCCTTTTATTTTATACTTATTTCTTTACAAACTTTGGA